GATTGGATTTATACCCCGCCCTTCACTACCCAAAGGTGTCTCAGAGCGGCTTACAAACTCCTTTCCCTTCCCCTCCCCACAACAGACACCCTGTGAGGTGGGTGGGGCTGAGAGAACTCTGACACAAACTGCTCTTTTTCAAGGACAGCTGTGCCAGAGCCTGTGACTGACCCAAGGTCACATCAGCAGGTGCATGTGGAGGAGTGGGGGAATCAAACCCGGTTCTCCCAGATTAGAGTCCGCGCACTTAACCACTACACCAAACTGGCTCTGGAGAGATCTGCAGCAGTAATTGCTTTGAAGCAAAGGCTGGAAGTTCATCATCAGGGATCTGGGAGTGCCAGATTCGAATCCCCACTGTACCACGGGGACCGTGCTCAACCCTTTTACACCAAATGAAGAGAAAATGGAAGAAGAGATTGGATTTATACCCCGCCCTTCACTACCCGAAGGAGTCTCCGAGCAACTTGTAATCGCCTTCCCTTCCCCTCCTCCACAACAGACACCCTGTGAGGTAGGTGGGGCCGCAGAGAGCTCTTTCCAGAACCGCTCCTGAGAGAACAGCTCCAAGAGAACTTGTGACTGACCCAAGGTCACACCAGTAGCTGCATGTGGAGGAGTGGGGAATCAAACCCGGTTCTGCCAGATTAGAGTCCGCGCTCCTAACCACTACACCAAACTGGCTCTCTGAAGCAGGGGCCTCTTCTCCGGGGGCTCCATAAAGATCCACACTCATCGATAAGGCTATCGTGTAACTATGTAAAACATACCTCTTTCGGTGACAGGATGGAGATATAATCCTCGTATATCACCCGCGCCTTCTCCTCTATGGACTGCTTGTTACACTCGCTTTTGAGCTCCTCGCACGCTAACCAAAAGAGCATGTTCTCCTCGCTGTACTCAGTCCGTAAGAATTCCCGGAACACGTTCCTGCCGGCCGGGTTCTTCATCAACTTGTCGAACGACTGGGCCCAACCCTTGACCTCCTCGGTGGTCGGTTTGGAGCTGGAGACGGAGACCCCCGCCCAGCAGAGACAACCCCCCACGGGAGGGAACCGCAGAAGACACAAGGAGGGAAGACCACACGTTAGTCGAGGGAAAGGCAACCGACTTTGCCCTGCTCTAAGCTGCCTGGCTGGGGCTCTGAATCTTTACGCCTGGGAACCCAGGAAGAGCAAAGCAAAATATTCAGACCGCCAAACAGGGCTGGTCTTCCCTACGCCCCTTGGATACGACACGTTCTCGTCCAGTTCTCGTCAGGTCTGAATCGCAGCAGACCACAAACTGCTGTCACAGACATAAGAGCATAACAGAAGCCATGTTGGATCAGACCAATGGCCCCTCCAGTGCAACACTCTTGTGTCATACAGTGGCCAAAACCCAGGGGCCATCAAGAGGTCCACCAGCAGGGCCAGAACACTAGAAGGCCTCCCACAGTGCCCCCCCCCAAGTACCAAGAATACAGAGCTTCACTGCCCTCAGACGTAAGAACATATGAGAAGCCATGTTGGATCAGGCCAATGGCCCATCCAGTCCAACACTCTGAGTAACACATGGGCTTGTCCTCAGGAGGTTCACCGGGGGGCCAGCAGCCCAACAGTTCTTGTATTGTGCGAAAGGGAGAAAAGGACTTCCTTCTCTACCTTCTGTATCCCATGCATAATTTTGTAAATTTAACAACATAAGAAAAGCCAATGTTGGATCAGGTCAATGGCCCATCCAGTCCAACACTCTGTGTCACACAGTGGCCAAAAGTACCAGGTACCATCAGGAGGTCCAGCAGTGGAGCCAGGACATTAGAAGCCCTCCCACTGTTGCCCCCTCCCCCAAGCACCAAGAAGACAGAGCATCACTTGCCCCAGACCGAGAGTTCCTATCTGTACCTTGTGGCTAAGAGCCACTGATGGACCTCAGCTCCTTATAAGAACATAAGAGAAGCCAATGTTGGATCAGGCCAATGGCCTATCCAGTCCAAATCTCTGTGTCACACAGTGGCCAAAAGGCCAGGTACCATCAGGAGGTCCATCAGTGGGGCCAGGACACTAGAAGCCCTCCCACTGTGGGCACCCCCCCAACCACCAAGAATACAGAGCATCACTTGCCCCAGACTGAGAGTTCCTATCTATAACTTGTGGCTAATAGCCTCTGATGGACCTCTGCTCCAGATGTTTATCCAATTCCCTCCCGAAGCCGTTTGTGATAGAACTTCTATCATGTCTCCCCTCAGTTGTCATTTCTCCAAGCTAAAGACCCCAGCCTCTTTAAGCTTTCTTCATAGACCCTGATTGTCAGTGGTATATGACTGAACAAAGTAGACCTAAACATTTACTTTGACCATTTCAGCTACATCCTTACTGTTACATCCTTATGACTCATCGGATGCATGCGCAGAATTAAATCTTACAATCTGATGAATGAGCAGACCTTTAATTTGCAACATTTCTACAAGAAAGTCAATTCTAAACACAGACAAGCTGACATCATATGTCTGGAAGAAATGAATCAATAGGTTCTGACACAGTCAGGTGAGTTTCATGTAATTGGGCCTCTAGGAGATCAAATCAGTCAATCCTAAAAGAAATCAACCCTGACTGTTCCCTGGAAGGCCAGATAATGAAGCTGAAGCTCAAATTCTTTGGCCACCAAATGAGAAGGGAGCCCTCGCTGGAGAAGACCCTGATGCTGGGAAAGACTGAAGGTCAAAGAAGACGGGGACGGCAAAGGGTGAGATGGTTAGACAGTGTCATCGATGCAACGAACATGAAATTGAGCCAACTCCAGAGGACGATGGAAGACAGGAAGGCCTGGCGAGATCTGGTCCATGGGGTCGCGAAGAGTCGGACTCAACTGTGCGACTGAACAGCAACAACAAAAGATAGCCGCACCCAAAACATCTGTCTACTGTGGGTTGCCTGAGACTACCTAATCTTTCTGAATGCTTGGGTGAGAATGTCAGAGACTGTATTTTATCTTTTAATGTTTAGATACAATAAGGGGAAAGGAACACTATTTACGTCTGTCTCTGATTTCATTGGCAAATGCAAGTATTTTGTATCGTGATTCCTTCACATTTAAGAAGAAGAAGAGGAGGAGGAGATTGGATTTATACCCCGTCCTTCACTACCCAAAGGTGTCTCAGAGCGGCTTACAAACTCCTTTCCCTTCCCCTCCCCACAACAGACACCCTGTGAGGTAGGCGAGGCTGAGAGAGCTCTTGACAGAAACTGCTCTTTTTCAAGAACAGCTCTTATCAGAACTACGGCTTGCCCAAGGTCATCCAGCAGGTGCAAGCAGAGGAGTGGGGAATCAAACCCGGTTCTCCCAGATTAGAGTCCGCGCACTTAACCACGACACCAAGCTAGCACTAAACCACTACACCAAACTGGCTCACATTTACTCATTTCAAGAGTGCTTAGGTTTGTTTTTAAATAAAAATCTTCAACAGCTAAAAATCTTTGGCTGGGATACACGTTTTTTCATCTTACACCTGGAACAAATAAACGTCTGACTTCTCTTCAGTCAGAGGGCTGAGAACCTGTAGAGATTGCCTCAGAGGGCAGTTGTGCTGGTTTGCCGTAGAAAAGTGAGCTACGACTCTAGTCGCACGTTAGAGACCAACCAGATTTTGAGAGTCAAACCTTCCTTCATCTGATCCGACGAAGGGAGCGTTAGCAGTCGGATCCCTCCTCTCGCCGGGGGGCAGTTTATAGCTAGAAAATCATAAACACCCTTCCTAAAATATCCCAGATATCATAAATGCAATGTACTGCTTGGTCCAAAAATAACAGAAAATGGATGCCAGCCAGAGACAAGCCTTAGAACTGTGAGAAAGATCGGCTGGCCAGCTAACAACCCTCTCCACACCCTAGGGGGACACATAATTTAGGAACAATGGGTCCCCCAAGAAACGATTGCCTCATGGTGGACTAATCCAGACAACAACAGGCTTCCCTTCCCCTCTCCCATTTACCCTCATTAAGCAACACTTAACACTATTCACCAAACCTGGGAGCTCTTCCCATCCGGTACTTACAGGGTCATCAAAACCCATTTACGCCTATGGTCCGCCTCAGGAAATCACATCAAGCTTCTCCCAAATTATTGTCGACCTCCAACCCCCCCCCCCATCAAGTTATTGTTTGGGGGGCAAATGCATCAGCCTGACCCAGGCAGCATTTTGCCCTATAACTTGAGTACCCAGAAGCCAGTTTATACATAAGAACATAAGAGAAGCCAGTGTTGGATCAGGCCAGTGGCCCATCCAGGCCAACATTCTGTGTCACACAGTAGCCAAAAATACCAGGTGCCATCAGGAGGTCCACCAGTGGGGCTAGGACACTAGAAGCCCTCCCACTGTTGCCCTCCCCCCCCAAGCACCAAGAATACAGAGCATCACTTGACCCAGCCTGAGAGTTCCCATCTATACTTTGTGGCTAATAGCCACTGATAGACCTCTGCTCCAGATGTTTATCCAATTCCCCCTTGAAGCCGTCCATGCTTGTAGCTGCCACCACCTCCTCTGGCAGTGAATTCCATGTCTAAATCACTCTTTGAGTGAAGAAGGACTTCCCTTGATCCGTTCTAACCCGACTGCTCAGCAACTTCGTGGAGTGCCCACGAGTTCTTGTATTGTGAGAAAGGGAGAAAAGTACTTCTTTCTCGACCTGTCTGTCCCATGCATAATCTTATAAACCTCAATCATGTCGCCCCTCAGTCGTCGTTTCTCCAAGCTAAAGAGCCCTAAGCGCCTTAACCTTTCCTCATAGGGAAAGTGTTCCAACCCTTTTATCATTCTAGTTGCCCTTTTCTGCACTTTATCCAATGCTATAATATCCTTTTTGAGGTGTGGTGACCAGAACTGTACTCCAAATGGGGTTGCAACATTGATTTGTACAGGGGCATCATGATACTGGCTGATTGGTTTTCACTTCCCTTCCTAATAATCTCCAGCATAGCGTTGGCCTTTTTTTATTGCAGTCGCACAATAAAACTCACCAGGCTTCACAGTTTGGGATGGTCTCCAGTTTGGTTTCTCGTGACGCCCGCCACGCTCGCTCGCGATCTTCATTCCTAGAAACAAAAAGAGAGGAAAGGTAAATGGACTAGACCAGGCAAGTCTAGGTCAGGATCAGGGCGGAATCGATGGGCGGGCTTTTCAGCGTCTTCGTTACAGCTGCTCAGCAGGATCCTATCGGGGGAGAGATGGAGCATGCATATGACTCCCATCCTGCAAACGCTTCAGTGGCTGAATTTAGAACCTAAAGATCTGAACGTTCTAGTCCCGCTGGTGGACCTCCTGAGGGCACCTGGGCTTTGGGCACTCTGTGACACAGAGTATTTGACGGGAGGAGTCACTGGCCTGATCCAACATGGCTTCTCTCATGTTCTTATGCCCAATAATTCTGCTAGTCAATTCTGTTAGTCAAATTAAAAACATTACATATTGGTAAAGGTAAAGGTTCCCTTGCTCGAAAGCCAGTCCCCCAAGCACCAAGAATACAGAGCATCACTTGCCCCAGACGGAGAGTTCCTATCTATAAATGTAAAGGTAAAGGTCCCCTTGCTCGAAAGCCAGTCGAGTCCGACTCTAGGGTTGCGGTGCTCATCTCCGTTTCCAAGCCGAAGAGCCAGCGCTGTCCGAAGACGTTTCCGTGGTCATGTGGCCGGCATGACTAAACACCAAGGCGCACGGAACGCTGTTCCCTTCCCACTGAAGTGGTACCTATTTATTTACTTGCAATTTCTTGCTTTCGAACTGCTAGGTTGGCAGGAGCTGGAACTAGAGACGGGAGCTCACTCCGTCATGCGGCACACTCGGGTCTCGGAATGATGAACTACCGACCTTCCACAGCCTGCAGTTCGGCGTCTTAACCATCTGAGCCACCCAAAATATACATGTATTTATTACAAAGTAGATGAAAAAGAAGAAGCAGAGTTAAATTTATACCCCGCCGTTCACTCGGAACATAAGCAGAAGAACATAAGAGAAGCCAATGTTGGATCAGGCCAATGGCCCATCCTGTCCAACACTCTGTCACACATAGTTCATTGCCACAGTCAAGGACACTTTTCTATAGTAATGGTTCCATTGTGTACACCTTTCTCACTTGGCCAGAAAAATTCGATGCAGCCAGGAGCCAAGAGTGATGTAATAGTCCCTGGCTGCCCATCAGTTATTTACATTCGACTCAACTGAAGAAAAAGAAGGAGGAGGAGATTGGATTTATACCCCGCCCTTCACTACCCGAAGGCGTCTCAGAGCATCTTACAATCTCCTTTCCCTTCCCCTCCCCACAACAGACACCCTCTGAAGTAGGTGGGGCTGAGAGAGCTCTTTTGTGGACTGATCTTGAAAGAACAGCTCTGAGAGAACTTGTGACAGACCCGAGGTCACCCAGCAGCTGCATGTAGAGGAGTGGGGAATCAAACCTGGTTCTCCCAGATTAGAGTCCGCGAGCCAGTCTGGTGTAGTGGGTTAAGTGCGTGGACTCTAATCTGGGAGATTCCCCACTCCTCCACTTGCACCTGCTGGGTGACCTTGGGCAAGCCATAGTTCTGGCACAGCTGTTCTTGAAAAAGAGCCGTTTCTGTCAGAGTTCTCTCAGCCCCGCCTACCTCACAGGGTGTCTGTTGTGGGGAGGGCAAGGGAAAGGAGTTTGTAAGCCGCTCTGAGACTCCTTTGGGTAGTGAAGGGCAGGGTATAAGTCCAATCTCTTCTTCCTCTTCTTAACCACTACACAAAACTGGCTTTGGAGAAGGGCACTTTGAGCGGAGAAACTGAAGCTGGGGAAAGGATTTAGCAGCCAGTCCCCCTCACCGCCACATCTTTTTCCGCAGCCCCTTCTGACTTTTTCTTGACGTATCCCCCAACTTTTTTTTCCTATTAAATATCCAGCCTGATGAAGAGTCCAGTGGAACTCTAAAGCCCGCATGCTTCTTTTAAATTTTTTGCCGGTCCTGATTTTTCCTTTAACGCTACGATCAATCTCTCTCTCTCTTTTTTAAACAATTTATTAGGACATAATAAAAGTTAAACATATATCAATACTTAAATCATCATACATCCTTTCCTCCTCTCCCCCCCCCCCTTTTCGGCTTCCCACAGTGCTCCAACCTCCAGCTCAATTCTTAAATTCCCTCCATACCTCTCTTTTTCATAATACATCTCTAGGTAACTTATCTGTCAACTGCTATTCATATACATTTATCTATTGTCTATTTCTTTTCAGTAGTTATCAAAGCAAATCAAATTGTCTTTTACATCCCAGTATTTTTCTAAGTATCGAAACGGCTCAGACGCAGCAAAGGAAACGCAGAACAATCTTTACGGAGTCTGACCAGCAGAGGTCACTCTTCCCCCAAAATTAAGCTGACAGACAGCAGTTGAATCAGCAAAAAAAAAACCCCAACCCTGGGAAATGAAGAAAAACGGGATTCTACGAGAACCTGTTGCTACTATCTTGGCTCATGCAGGGACCAGATGCAAAGGAAGGCAAGCTCCTGTGCCGTGTGGGAAAACAGGAATCTTGGCAAAGATTGCCCGGTAAACAGTTGGGCCTGCTGGTATTCTCTCTTCTGTAGCTTTTCCCCCACAAAAAGGGGGTGTCCCTTGCGTCTCTTCCAGCCCAGGCTGAGATCTAGGGTTCCAGAAAATAAGAAGCCGAACAGAGACAAGCCAATGATCCTCAACTACGTCTGAAATCTCAAATCCCAACCGGACACGTGCGGAACAGGTGCTCGTCTTGGCGGTAGGAGTAAATTTTCTTTGGGCGAGTCTGCATTGCAGATTTTAACAAGCCCAGACAGGCAGTTGTAGCAGAAATACACAGGAGTTTTCTGGCGCCTTAAAGACAAACACGTTTTCGATTCTACCATATGCCTTTGTGGAGCAGAGTCCACATCCACGGGGAACTTCCTACGGCGCAAATCCCAAAACCAAGACGTACTTTCTGTTAATTAACAAGAACTCCAGGTTCCCACCAAGTGGAGAGCTGCCGCTGACAATGGAATCCCGGTGTGGCGTCCCCCGCAACAGGGACAAGTGACATTGTTCTGTGGATTTGTACCTTCGTCCTCCACCGATAGCCAAAAGCACAAGGTGTGCAAACACAGAGTGGAAGGACGTATGACCATGTGGGTCCATGTGGCAAGGAAACACGGGGATACCAATTTCTGCGGCAGCCCTGTGTTTTGGGAAATGTCTAGTTCTGCCCAGAAAGACTCTGTTTTAAGAAAGGCAGAAAATGCTCCTTGATTCACATAAACAGAAATGTCCACAGTCTTTTAAACAGAAGTTGAACTGCTCTAGATTCAACTGCTGCACGCACGCCCAAGTTGCTTCAGTTTCCTTTACAACAGGACACCCTTCCTCCTGGTTCATACCAGTCCCCCGGCTCAAACCGCCAGGAAACGGCAGTTCCTCTTTGCAACACTGTCTTTTTTTGCCCTTTCCCCCAGTCTGAAGTACTCAGGGAGAAAAAGAAATGAACCCACAGAAGTCCCACTGCCAAAGAAAGCTGCCTTGGGTTCGAATCCCAGTTTGGCCAGTTCAAACAACAGCAAGATCGCCATGCCGACAGCATACCGAATTCACTTCAAGATGCTGGTTCTTACCTTCAAAGCGCTTTATGGTCAGGGGTCTACATACCTGAGGGACCACCTTTCCCCACATGTTCCCCAGAGGGTACTGTGTTCAGGGTTGCAAAATCGACTGGACCTCCCGGGTCCCAAAGATTCCAGGCGGGCTACAACCAGGGCCAGGGCCTTCTTAGTGGTGGCTTCCTACTGGTGGGAACGAGCTCTCAGAAGACATCAGGGCCCTGCAGGATCTTTTACAGTTCTGCAGGACCTGAAAGACGGGAACTCTTCTACAGTTCTGCAGGGCCTACAAGACGGGAACTCTTCCACCAGGCCTTCAATCAAGGAGCCGCATCTAACATCTAACAACTGAACAGTGACAAGGTCCTGTTCCCCTGGACTACCATCAGCAGCCTGAGCTTGCCGCATACATAGATCAAGATGAGTTGCTCATCAACACAGACTGGATCCCACTTGAATATCGCTACAGGATTGTTTTCACTGTCTCTATGTAATAGTAATCTCTATGTAATACTAATACTTCTTCACCCAAGGAGTGATCAACACATGGAATTCACTGCCACAGGAGGTGGCGGCGGCTACAAGCATGGACGGCTTCAAGAGGGAATTAGATGAACAGAGCAGAGGTCCATTAGTGGCTATTAGCCACAAGGTCTAGATAGGAACTCTCAGTCTGGGGCAAGTGATGCTCTGTCTTCTTGGTGCTTGGGGGGGGGGGGTCAACAGTGTGAGGGCTTCTGGTGTCCTGGCCCCACTGCTGGACCTCCTGATGGCACCAGGTCTTTTTGGCCACTGTGTTGGACTGGATTTGGCCCAGTGTTGGTCTGGATGGGCCGTTGGCCTGACCTAACATTGGCTTCTGTTATGTTCTAGAGGTCCATCAGTGGCTATTAGCCACAAGGTATAGATAGGAACTCTCCGTCTGGGGCAAGGGATGCTCTGTCTTCTTGGTGCTTGGGATGGGGGCAACAGTGGGAGGGCTCCTAGTGTCCTGGCCCCACTGCTACACCTCCTGATGGCCCCTGGTCTTTTTGGCCACTGTGTGATAGACAGAGCGTTGGACTGGATGGGCCATTGGCCTGACCCAGCACTGGCTTCTCTTATGTCCTTATGTTCTTCTTACTAGTTTTGTTGTTTCTCGTCATGATAGCTCGGATTTTATGACTGTTTTAGAATGGTTATTTTTATGTGTTTGGCTTTTATGGAAGCCGCCCAGAGCCTGCTCCGGTAGGGAGGGTGGGGTATAAATTGAATGAACGAACGAACAAATAAACAAATAAAATGAATTACTACCTGGGCCAGAAACTGCATTCCCCAGGAAAGCTTAGGAGCAAACAGGCATCCATTGGAGACCCAAGAGCTACCGGCCAGTGGTCCACCTAGACCAGTTCGATCTACTGGCAGAGACCTTTCAGCATCTACCCCGGGGCTCCCCCATAAATGTTTCTGAGCATGTGGGCAATTGGGAATTCTGACACAGGGTGGTGGGGGTGCCACCACAAAACAGACGCTGCTGGAGACGGAGACGACCACAAGAATGTCAGGGAGAGTGAGGTTATGCGTAACAGAGAGCGACTCTTCCACAAGCTCCGTTGAACAGGACGCCTTTCGGTCTGCACAGCCAACCGGAAGCGATGCTGAGCTCAGACTCCACCTGGCCCTGCGCACTTTCTAGGAAAACACGTGACGGGCACCAGGGAAGGTGCTGGTGGGTGCTGTGGCGCCCCTGGGAACCACGTTGGGGATGCCAGGTCTATCCCCACCCAAGGAGATTTTTCGACTGGAAAGGCCATGGCCGAACCAGGGGCCTCCTGCGTGCAGCTAGAGATGTGAAGGCCCGGGGAAAAAACGGAATTTTTTTTTTTTTGTTTTTTTCCGAAAAATTGGAAAAACCGAAAAAAGAAAAGAAAAAAAAATTGATTATGGAACGTTTTATTTTAACATGACGAATAAGATATTTTAAGACCAGGTGTTCAAATATTTTCCAAATCATTTCTTTTATATATATATATATAATTTTAACATGATAAATAAAATATTTTAAGACAAGGTGTTCAAATATTTTCCAAATCATTTCTAAAATATATAATGGTATCAGATTGATCTAATTTCTGTGCACTGAGGACAAGCAAGTCCTAGGTTACAAACTGAACTCTCCAATGCAAGAACAAGATGCATTTCTTCCTTTAGGAGGTGCGATTGTCAGAAGTAAATAAAAAGGTTTCAGTTTTGTTTTTGCATGTGGGTGGGTATCCTGTTTGTAATAATTGGAGACACTATATTTTTAATATGCTAGCTGTGATAATTTCATGCCAAGTAAAAATGTCCATAGTCATATTTTATGTTCCTAAAGTAACAGAATGACTTTCAATCTGGAAAGGAAAAAGGAAATGCTAATGTAGCATTTTTTTCAATTTTTCCGAACATTTCCGTTTCCACCTGAAAAAAAACTGGGGGGAAAACGGGGGTTTTTCCGAGCTTCAAAATTTCCGGAAATTTTACATCTCTACATGCAGCCCATGTGCTCTTCCTGCCGCGCAATAAGCATTCATGCACTCCTTCCCGAGCCCCGTTCGCGGGAAGGGCGAGGTATAAATGCAATGAAAATAAAATAAAATAAATAAATAAACAAGTCCCCATCTCCACACCTTCTTTTTAAGGCTTCTAAATGATCGCTGCGCCTGAACACGTCAGGTGTGATCTGGACCCGGAAAAGGCCGCCGTGCTTTGCTCAAGGGAAAATCTTCACAATGAAAAGAGAGACAGAGCTGAAATGATAACGCATATTGGGAACAGGGAAATAGGGTATTAAGGAGCAGCTTATCCTACGGAACCGGCAGCGCTTTCTAGACCAGATTGCGGGGAAACTGGCCAAGGCAGAACACCCGAAAGGAAGCCTCAAACCCAGCCAAACAGAGCAAAACGCGTGGCGGTTCCAGGGATCTCCGTGAAGCCCAAACACCAGACCATCTGCTCAAGATGGTATTTATGCTTGTTTGGTTAAAAACACTCCCCTAATTAGCCTCCAGGTACCAACGAGGGGGGAACTTTCCCTGCCTGTACTACGTCTTGCGGGAACAAACCAAAGGCCCGTCTGCTCCAGAGATGAACGGCCAGGGGCCATCGAAGCCTGACAAGATAAAAAAGCAATAGCCGCTCCGAGGGGGTAGCCGTCAGCAGCTGAAATGCTAGATGTGAGTCCAGCGACACAGACTAACAAGGTTTTTTTGGGTATAAGCTTTTTAAGAGTCAAAACTCCCTCCGTCAGATACTAGATCTGATAAGAACATGAGAGAAGCCAATGTTGGATCAGGCCAATGCCCATCCAGTCCAACACCCTGTGTCACACAGTGGCCAAAAATACCAGGTGCCATCAGGAGGTCCAGCAGTGGGGCCAGGACACTAGAAGCCCTCCCACTGTTGCCCCCCCAGCACCAAGAATCCAGAGCATCCCTTGCCCCAGACATAAGAACATACAAGCAGCCCTGTTGGATCAGGCCAGTGGCCCATCCAGTCCAATACCCTGTGTCGCACAGCGGCCAAAGCCCAGGTGCCATCAGGAGGTCCACCAGTGGGGCCACAACTCCAGAAGCCCTCCCACTGTTGCCCCCCCTGACAAGCACCAAGAATACAGAACGTCACTGCTCCAGACATAGTGTTCCAATCCCCAGAATTTCCAGATCAGGGAGCAGTAGAGATGTAAAATTTCCGGAAATTTTGAAACTCGGGAAAAAAACGCCAGGTTTTTTTCGGACCCCCCCCCCCCCCGCAAGTTATTTCGGCCCCCCCCCCCCCCGGAAATGTTCGGAAAAATTGAAAAAAATGCTACATTAGCACTTCTTTTTTCTTTTCCAGATTGAAAGTCATTCTGTTACTTTAGGAACATAAAATATGACTATGGACATTTTTACTTGGCATGAAATTATCACAGCTAGCATATTAAAAATATAGTGTATCCAAACAATTATTTCAAACAGGATACCAACCCACGCGCAAAAACAAAACTGAAACCTTTTTCTTTTCTTGTGACAATCGCACCTCCTAAAGGAAGAAATGCCTCTTGTTCTTGCATCGGAGAGTTCAGTTTGTAACCTAGGACTTGCTTGTCTTCAGTGCACAGAAATTAGATCAGTCTGATACCATACATATTTTTTAGAAACGAATTGGAAAATATTTGAACACCGTGTCTTAAAATATTTTATGCATCATGTTAAAATAAAATAGTCCATTTCTTTTTCTTTTTCCAATTTTTCGGGAAAAACAGGAAAAAAACGTTTTCCCCCCATAATTTTTCTGGGCCTTCACATCTCTAGGTAGCAGATGATGTGAAAGGCTTCTGCCTGAGACACTGGAGTCCTCCTGCCAGTCTGAGTGAACAATACTGACCCCGATGGACCAATGGTCTGATTCAGTATAAGGCAGCTTCACATACATTGCCGTGTCTGTCATTCCTGGACCTCTGTGAACTCCAGCCAGATCCAAGGCGAGCTTCCAAAGCTCTGGCAGGTGTCCACACAACTACAAACCTCATCTCTCTCCCTTCCACCAAGTAGGTCTCCCAGTGTACCAGCATCTTTACAGATAGATGGGGTGGCTGAACTCTGTGGCAGTTGTTGTTGTTCAGTCGCACAGTCAAGTCCGACTCTTCGCGACCCCATGGACCAGATCACGCCAGGCCTTCCGGTCTTCCGCCGTCCTCTGAAGTTTGCTCAACTTCATGTTCATTGCGTCTATGACACTGTCTAACCATCTCATCCTTTGCCGTCTTCTTTGACCTTCAATCTTTCCCAGCATCAGGGTCTTCTCCAGGGAGTGCTCCCTTCTCATTGGGTGGCCAAAGTATTTGAGCTTCAGTTTCATTACCCACGTTCAAAGAGACAACTCTCCCACTGCTAAGTGCAACTCGGGGCGAAAGACTCCCAAGGAACACCAAACTTGCAGTGGACGTTGGAGGAGGACGAGAATTCTGCCGTGATAATTCTCCTCGCACCCAAACACAAACCTGCAAATGCTGACCCACTGGCCGACCACCCGACCACTAACCACCTGGCCACGATTTGGACTCCCCCCCCCCCCCGGTCCCCGTACCACGAGCAGCTGCAGCAGCAGCACCAGCAGAAGCAGCAGGGGTTGGGGCGCTGGTTGGTGCTAGCCCGTTGCAGTGCTGTCGGAGAAGTCTCATGCCGGGACATTGGAAGGGGTCTCTCCGGATACTCTGGATCTGGGTACTGCAAAGGAAAACGGAGAGGGTGAACCACAGAGCTCCGGGACCTCAGCTAAGGAAGATCTTCCTAGAGGTCGATCAAGACAGGTAGCCATGTTAGTCTGTCCATTGCGGCAGAAAAAAGAGCAAGAGTCCGGTAGGCACCTTAAAGACTGACAACATCTGTGGCAGGGGAGGAGCTCTCACGAGCCACTGCTCCCTTTTTCAAACTGCCAAACTGCAAATGATAATGAAGCTCAAGACAATGCATCCTTCCTGGACTGAATTGAGATCTAGGCTTCCTGTCTCAGTAAAGGTAAAGGTTCCCTTGCTCAAAAGCCAGTCGAATCTGATTCTAGGGTTGCGGTGCTCATCTCCGTTTCCAAGCCGAAGAGCCAGCGCTGTCCGAAGACCTTTCCGTGGTCATGTGGCCGGCATGACTAACCACCAAGGCGCACGGAACGCTGTTACCTTCCCACTGAAGTGGTACCTATTTATCTACTTGCAATTTCTTGCTTTCGAACTGCTAGGTTGGCAGGAGCTGGAACCGGAGACGGGAGCTCACTCCGTCATAAGGGACACCTGGGTCTCGAACTGCTGAACGACCGACCTTCCACAGCCTGCAGTTCAGCGTCTTAACAAATTGAGCCACCGCAGCTCCTCCTGTCTCAGTACCAATGCGGATTTCTCCATGCCTACTGCCTCTCTGTATATCACACCTAAGCCAATCATGCCTGTTATTGTCATTCACCTGCTATTGTCATTCGCCATCTGAAACCACTCCACTCTCCAAAATATACGGACAGAGGGACTCACATTCTAGCTTTATCTGAAGAAGTGAGCAGTGGCTCATGAAAGCTCCTATCCTTCTAGAGGGGTAACTTTTCCAGGAATTCTGAAAGCATTTTAGGGAAGCGTCACATGTTTGCAGAAGCCCCCTTTGCCGCCTGTCAATTCTATCCAGGGTTGCCAACCTCCAGGTGGGGCCTGGAGATCCCCCGGAATCACAACTGATCTTCAAACTACAGACATAAGTTCCTCTGGAGAAAACTGCTGCTTTGGAGGATGGATTCTATGGCTGAGTATGAGGATTCGCTGGTGGTCTCCTTCTGATCCCACCCCACCGCTCGCATTCACTCTTAAAACGTGCAGACCCAAAATTCATGCAACGATCCAGTACAACTATCACGCAAACGAGAGCCAAAGGCTGCGTCCGTAACTCCTTCCTTCTCCTGGGAATAATCGCGTGGTCCCAGCCAATAAGGCCACTGTACAGCAAACCAAACGGCCTTTGTTATACATGGCAAAATCACCGGGCATCAACAAAGCCAATTGAGAACGAGGGCAATGTGCTTAGATTCAGTCACATGGGTGAGCCCAGCCAATGGTGGAACGCATAGCCCTGAACGGCCTTTCAAGACTACACAACCAATCGGGCTTTGTTATACACGGCAAAATCGCCGGGCATCAACAAAGCCAATTGAGAGCGAGGGCAATGTGCTTGGATTCAGTCACATGGGTGAGCCCAGCCAATGGTGGAACGCATAGCCCTGAACGGGATGGCCCAGGCTAGCCCGATCTTATTAGGTCTCAGAAGCTAAGCAGGGATGGCCCTGGCTAGTATTTGGGCGGGAGACCTCCAATGAACACCAGGGTTGTGGTGCAGAGGCAGGCGACGGCAAGCCACCGATGGGGTCGCCATAAGTCGGCTGTGACTTGACGGAGCTTTCCACCAGCCCCATAGTAAACAGGAGGATGCCATGATGCTCTGGGCCCCGCTGGCTACGCATTGACACCACTGGTGATAACGAGGCCGATGCGGGAAGCGCCACCTGCCCCCGGAATAGGGGGGCGTGCCTGCCCCCGTTGGATGCGATGTTCGTGCAGAAAATAGCCGGGAGGGTGCCTTATTACAACGCCGGAGACTCTCACGAAAAGCCCCCCCCTCGCTTTGGGGCACGGTCCCATTCTCAACCCCATTGGTTTGGGAGCTCACCTGGGAGCACGAGCAAGCCAAATTAGGAGAGGAAATCACAACACAAGAGATAAAGGAGGTAATTAAAGAACTGAGAAAGGGAAAATCTCCCGGTCTGGATGGGTTTACAAGTGAATTTTATAAGGAAACGGTAGATATTTTAGCCCCATAACCAATGTTCCCTCTAAGCTGAGGAGTCTTGTGAGCAAAAGTTCTACTTTGTGAGCCACTGGCATTAAAGTTGTGAGCGAGTGATTTGGCTGCTGCATAAATCAGCTTGCTCTGGAGCCCATCCTTCCTGAGCAAAGACAAAAATGTGTGAGCCGGAGGCTAAAAAACTGTGAGCTAGCTCACGCTCACTCAGCTTAGAGGGAACCCTGCCCAGAACTCCAAATGGTGTTTAATGAAATCTTGAAGGGGGGGGGGAGCCCCAGAATCATGGAGACAAACAGAAATAATAGTCATTCTGAAACCAGGTAAAGATCCTGAAGAGGTAGGCTCATATAGACCCATAAGTCTCCTTAATCAGGACTACAAGATCTTCGCAAAAACTCTGGCAAACAGATTAAAGAGGATTATCCCTAATATAATAAAAGAAGACCAATATGGCACGGTCCCATTCTCAACCCCGTCCGTCTGGGAGCTCACCTGTTTCCCCACTTCATAAACAGTCGGCATGGACAGTTCTGTTTCGCCCACCTGGCCCACCGTGGCGGCTTTTTCTGGCCAAGGCTTGGCCGCACGCCCTGCTGAGGTCCGCCCTTCCTAGGGCCTTCGAGGCTTATGGGATGGCACCTATGGAGAGAGAGAGAGAGAGAGAGAGAGAGAGAGACAGAGACAGAGAGAGACAGAGAGAGACAGAGGGGCAACATCTTTATCATCGTCGTCGTCATTATTTAAAGCATTTATTACTAGCTGCCCGTTGTGCAACAGTGGAATGGGCTACCTTGGGAGATGTGGCCAGGGTCCGGCATACCTGAGGGACCGCCTTGCCCCATACAGGCCCCAAAGAGCGCTTCGGTCGGGGTCACAACACCGTCTCGTGACCCCGGGTCCTAAAGAGGCCAGGCGTGCTGCCACAAGGGCCAGGTCCTTTTCGGTGGCGGCTCCTACCTGGTGGAATGAGCTCCTGGAGGAGATCAGGGCCCTGCGGGACCTGTTACAGTTCCGCAGGGCCTGCAAGACGGAGCTCTTCCGCCAGGCTTGCGAATAGCACCCCCCGCCACCACCACCACCAATTGGGGCCTTCGAAGCAGGACCGCTAGACTAGGTTGATTGGCCATTGAACATCAGGGCCATAGTATCCCCCCCCCTTTTTTTGGCTAATGGGATGTGCAATAGGGAGTGAGTGTTAGTCACGCTGGATCCTTGGGAGTTGCCCACTGTATTTAACTGTTTTAAAATGTTTTAACCGTATTTCTATTGCACTGTGTGCCTTGATTGCGTAACTATGGTGTTGTTTTACGCCTGTGTACTGTAAGCTGCCCTGAGCCCGCGTGCGGGGAGGGCGGGATATAAATGTAATTAAATAAATAAATAATAAATGTGGTGAGCTCCCCCTCCCTGGCAGTCTTGAAGTAGCATCTGGATCAACACACCTGTCAGGGATGCTCTAGACCAGGGGTGTCGAACTCATTTGTTATGAGGCCTGGATCTGACAAAAATGAGACCTTCTTGGGCTGGGCCATGTGTGCCATAAAAGGTAATGCCAGGTAGCGGAGATATAAACCTCATAAAGGACACAAACACAAAGGGACACAAACGGCGGGTTTGATCCCCCCCCCTCCACTCGCATCTGCCGGATGACCTTGGGCAAGCCATCGTTCTGTCAGAGCTGTTCTCTCAAGGACAGTTCTCGAAAGAGCTCTCTCGGCCCCGCCTACCTCACAGGGTGTCTGTTGTGGGGAGGGGAAGGGAACGCGTGTTTCCGGCGGGTGGCAACACGGCGAGAGGAGCGCAATTGAGCGATCACACGTAGGTGTTCCGTCGACGGCCCGTAGCAAACCATTGGCTAGTAGGCTTTCCCGGGTATTCTTTAACTCCGGATCTTTGGGCGGATGTCCTTGTGATCACGCCCGTATATTCTGCCCGACATTCGTGCCTCTCCCGCAGCACATCCTCTGTGTCCCCGGAGCCAAAGTTTAATTCTGGGTATAAGCTTTTGTGTGCATGTACACTTCATCGGATGCACTGAAATGTATCCGATGAAGGATGCATGCACACAAAAGCTTATCCCCAGGTCTGTTGGTCTTAAAGGCACCACTGGTGTCAAACTTTGCTCTCTTGCTTCAGACCAACGCGGCTACCCACCTGAAGCCATTTATTAAGTCCAGAAAGAGCAGGTAGAGAAAGAGGTACTTTTCTCCCTTTCTCACAATGCAAGAACTCGTGGGCACTCCATGAAATTGCTGATAAAAACGGATAAAAGGAAGTCCTTCTTCACCCAAAGAGTGATTAACACTTGGAATTCACTGCCACAGGAGGTGGCGGCGGCTACAAGCATGGACGGCTTCAAAAGGGAATTAGATAAGCATATGGAGCAGAGGTCCATCAGTGGCTGTTAGCCACAAGGTATAGATAGGAGCTCTGGAGCAAGTGATGCTCTGTCTTCTTGGTGCTTGGGGGGGGGAGGGTCAACAGTGGGAGGGCTTCTAATGTCCTGGCCCCACTAGTGGACCTCCTGATGGCACCTGGTATTTTTGAGGGGGGCGTCCCCCCCCCCCCTGAATTTTTCCGTTTTTTTTACAGGCCTTCACATCTCTATACCCACCTGAAGCTATTTATCAAGTCCGTTTTAGTTATTTCCTCTCCCAGTTCTGAGGGGAGGGTTGAGCATCTGCGTCTCAGTGACAGAGCAGAAGGTGCCAGGTTCAATCCTTGGCATCTCCAGTTTAAAAGGACTGCAAAGTAGGCGATATGAAAGGCCTCGGCCTGAGACCCCGGAGAGCTGCTGCCACTCTGAGTCGACAATACTGGCCTTGAGGGACCGAGGGGCTGATTCGGTATAAGGCAGCTTCATGCATTCTGGTCTTAAACCCCCGCCTTCGTTCAGGCTTTCATGGAATGCTTCGTTTTTGCTGAAATCTGCTAGGGACAAGATTTCAGTTGCATTCTGCTGTGCTGTAGTTTTTTTAAAACATTCCTGGGAATTATGTTTTAATGGTTTGATCGACTGCTGTCGAGTCTGCCAGCCACCCTGGGAATCTCGGACCGAGGGGCTACTAAGTGCATCCGAAGTCCCCCCCACCTGCGGTCTGAGACGGGAGGAAGCCCATTTCCCCGCCGTCATTAGCAGGAGAACGAAGAGAGAGACGCAGGCCTGTCCTTTTCAGCGGCAGCCTGGATTCTCTAATAGCGCCTGATTCTGCCCTTCGGGGCACTTTACAAATTACGGCAATTATTTTACTTATTCGATGCCTTTCTACCAAACTGCATGTATGGGGAGGTACAGTAGTGAAGAATTATACACCGAACACTATAATTCTAGCAATAATAATAAAAAAAACCCCACAGCAGGAGTCATTCACAAGACCCGCCACCCTATCGTGCCTTTGCATTTATGCATTAATTTATTTATGTCCCGTTTTTCTATCCCGTCGGGATTCAAAGCGGCTTTTGGCCCGTCTTTCCTCCCTCTGCCGTTTTCTCACAACGGCGACCCTGCGAGGTAGGTCGGGCTGAGAGTCTGTGATGGGCCCAAGGGCACCTGGCGAGCTCCAATGGCAGAAGTGAGGATTCGAACCCAGGTCTCCCTACTCTGCCATTCTATCCGCTATACTGCGTTGGCTCCCATGCCGAAGTGGCTGAAACCAAGAGAGTAGCAATGCCTTTGGTGTAGTGGTGAAGTGTGTGGACTCTAATCTGGGAGAACCAGGTTTGATTCCCCACTCCTCCACTCGCACCTGCTGGATGACCGTGGGCAAGCCATAGTTCTGTCAGAGCTGTCCTTGAAAAAGAGCAGTTTCTGTCAGAGCTCTCTCAGCCCCACCTACCTCACAGGGTGTCTGTTGTGGGGAGAGGAAGGGAAAGGAGTTTGTAAACCACTCTGAGACTCCTTTGGGTAGTGAAGGGCAGGGTATAAATCCAGTCTCTTCTTCTTCTTCTTCTTTTACCTCACGGGGTGTCTGTTGAGGGGAAGGGAAAGGAGTTTGCAAACCGCTCTGAGACTCCTTTGGGTAGTGAAGGGCGGGGTATAAATTCAATCTCCTCTTCTTTTTTTACCTCACGGGGTGTCTGTTGTGGGGAGGGGAAGGGAAAGGAGTTTGTAAGCCGCTCTGAGACTCCTTGGGGTAGTGAAGGGCGGTGTATAAATCCAATCTCCTCTTCTTCTTTT